AGGGGAAAATATATATATATATATATATATATATATATATATAGAGAGAGAGAGAGAGAGAGAGAGACAGAGAGAGATACATATAGATATGTGCATAGTGGTAATTTAAACCTGTTTTTCACAAAAAGATTTTCCATAAATACAAACATACATAACATACACACATACACACTCACACACACATACCAGCATATATATACATACATATACATGCCAGAGAAAGACGGACAGACAGATAAACGCAAATAAAAGAACATTCAGAATAATACATAAAAAAGGAGAGGGCAAATTAATTACGGAATGATTAGATATATAAACCTACCAAAATCACAAACAAATAAATGAACGAATGAATGGATGGATGAATGATTTAAATGAACGACTGAATGAGCGAGTAATTGAATGAACGAACACACTACTGAAAGAAAGAATGAAAGAAAGAAGGAATGGTCTATATGAATGGCTAAATGAATGATTGAATGAGCGACAGAATGAACGAATGAATGGATGAATGCATGAATGGTCTGTCTGCCGTAAATTAATTCCCGTCACGGTTTAAAAAATTCCCGCAGACCAAGTAAATAGCAGTAATTGTAGTAGTAGTAGTAGTAGAAGTAGTAGTAGTAGTAGTAGTAGAAATTGTAGTAGTAGTAGTATTTGTGGTAGTAGTAGTAGTGGCAGTAGAAGTTGTAGTAGTAGTAGTGGTAGTAGTAGTAAACAAATGGCATGTAACCAACATTGGCTGGGGTCCCTGCACATAGTGTTGTACGTGTTGTACCTGGTAAGAAGTAATAATTTTCGTACTTTTTATTATTATGAATAATATTAATTATTATTTTTATTGAAAAAATATAAATCAAAATAATTATGAAGTATGGCAGTAGAAATTAGTATCACCAGGAAAGAAGCAACAGCAGTAACGACAGCGGCTGCTGTAGTAGTAGTAGTAGAAAAAGCTGTTGTAATATGTAGTTGTAATAGCTGTAATTGCAGTACTTATAATACTTAACTGTAAAACTCAGTAGAAGTAGTAACTGAAGCAAACAAAAAACACAAGAGATTATTGTACTGGCAGTGAAAGCTGTAGTAGTAGTAATAGTTGTTGTTGTAGTAGTAGCAGCCGCAGCAGCAGCAGTAGTAATAGTAGTAGTAGCAGTAGTAGTAGCAGCAGCAGTAGTAGCAGCAGCAGAAGTAGTAGTGGCAATGACATTATAATAATTACCCAGAGATACGAATTTTGAGGAAGTGGACTAATTCTTTGTTGTGCATACACTGGTGCATTAGATGTTGGTGACACGTGTTTGTTCTCTCCCATTCCCTGTTCGTGTGTGTGTGTGTACGTGTGTGCGAGTGTAGCCACGTGTGTGCGTGTGTACGTGTGTGTACGAGTGTGTGTGCGTGTGTACGTGTGTGTACGAGTGCATTCATATCAACGTGTGTTGTTCATTGCGCTGGTTTTACAGATTATATAAAAGGAATAAATCACACTAAAATGAAAGAAGTAAAAAAATGAATGAACAAAAGAGGGAATGAACTAATGGACAAACAAATGAACGAACGAACAAACGAACGAACGAATGAACGAACGAACAAACGATCGAACGAATGAACGAATGAATGAATAAAAACTAATATAATAAACCAAGACGAATGCAATGACAGATGGATGTGTGGGCAGATAACTGAAGGATTAATTAAATGAACGAAAGAAGAGAAATTGGGGTGAGTGAATGAGTAAATGAAAAATGAATTAAAAAATGAAGGAGACAATTGAACAAATGAATGAAAGATTCTTTTCCTAAAGAACAAATGACCATGAGTGGAATTGAAATAAACATTATTTAATCAAATCAACTTACCAACCAGCTAAAAGTGACCAGCCAACTAGCCAATCAAATTTGACATACCGACCAACTAGCCAATCAAAAATGGCTTACCAGCCAATCAAAATCAACCAACCTACAAATGGTAGCCATATCTCGTACTCTGTCTTCCAATAAATATTCCAGCCCTTCGTTGCACCTGTTCAGGTCGTGCTCCAATTGACTGCGAGAGCAGGATGACGTCACAAAAGAGTTGATTGGGCGGACCAATAGGAAGACAGTTAGAAAAACAGTAAACGATGACATCATAGAGGGCGATGATGACAGTAACGAGGTGTGAAACTTTGACGAGTTTGTTGATTTTAATTTTGTCTTTTGATAGTTGTTGCGAAATTTATTCACGATTTTTGTCGTAAAAAAAGTTGCTAACTTAGCTTTCTTAATCAACATCGTCAACGTCATCACCAACGTCATCATCATCCTTCTCATCATCTTCGTCATCGTCGTCATCACATTCAATACAGTTTTCATCGTATTTTCAACAGTTGAGATTGCGTCACTAATACATCTCACAGTAATTTTCCTAATTAATTCTCTTAATTTAGAAAGAATAGTATAAACCCTACTGAATGAACAAATAATACGCTGGACTTTTTTATAGTTTTTAAGTAATTTAGTATTGTCAATATTCCCAAAACTGAACATCAGTCTGGCGAAAAGAGCATATATAGTGACAAAAATGTGTGCTACAAAGATATGTAAATCAGTATAAATATTATTAATCTTAGTAGTAGTATTTTTAATGATGGTACAAGAATTATTTGAGGTAGTCGTAGTAGTAGTAGTAGTAGTAGTAGTAGTAGTAGTAGTAGTAGTGGTAGTAGTAGCAAATATTATTACTAAGAGTAGTAGAATTAAAAAAAGTAGATAAGTTTTGTATAGTGTTGATATAGTAGGTATGGAAAACGATAGCTCTTGGTTATTTAGGTTCTTTGGTTTTTGTTGTTGATGACATTGTTGTTGTTGTTGAAATTGTTGTTGTTGATGTTGATGATGTTGACATTGTTGCTGTTGTTGTTGTTTATACAACGAAAGTTGATTTTTTATAAGCTCCATAAGTAGCGCTAAGAAAGAGGATGATGATATAAATAGTAATAATAATAATAATAATTTTGTTGTTGTTGATGATGATAATGATGTTGTTGTTGTGGATGATGATAATGATGTTGATGATGTTGGTAAAGGAAACCAATAAAATTTCTTGCTATTTGGAGCAGTGTTCCAACGTCTTTGGTGGAAGCTGGTTTTAATTATTTGATGTTGTAGTAGTTGTTGATGTTGTTGTTGTTGATGGCGATGATGTTGTTGCTGTTGTTGTGGTTTTTGTTGTTGTTGCAGACGCTGGTCTTCTTGAAGATGTTGCAGATTATAACAATGTTGACTTGGTTGTTGTTTATGCTGAAATCGATAATGTTGTTGTTGTCGCAACTGACAACAACATATGTCCGGAAGCTTTTGTTGATGAGGATTTATTTCGAATTTTTCAAAATTTTCATAATTTTGAGATGAAAACTGTGGAAGAATCATCTCCACAAAATATTGAATCAAATATAAAAAGTGTTGTATCAGAGCTCGTAGAATGCACAGCAAGGATACTTCAATCATTTTAAATATTGTTTTTGATGTTGTTGTTGTTGTTGTTGACAATTTTGTTGTTGTTGTTGTTCCAAGTGATGATTTTGAAGTTTTTGTTACTATTTTAGACTTTGTCGTCGTCGTCATCGTTGTTGTTGTTAATATTACTGTAATAGTTCTTGTAGTAATAGTAGTGAAAGTAGTAGTTGTTGTCATTGTTGTTGTTGATGTTAATGTTGTTGTTGTGGTTGTTGTTATTATATTTGCCGTCACAACTGCAAAAAAAACTAATAAAAGTTTCTAAACCAAGAAATAATTTACAATTTTTCATCATAATCACAATTTTTGGCAACAACAACAACACAACAACACAAAACAACAACACAAAACAAAAACAACAACAAACATTTCAGAAGTTTGTCCTGTTAGCTTGGTAGGAAAATGAAATAATGTTTGCATAAACAAATGGAAAAAGATTGGATGTAGTTGTTGAGTTTTTTGTAGGTTGTAGTTGTGGAGTTTTTTAACGAGTGGAATTAAATTACTTCTACGTAAACATAGGGTTGTCAAGGCTGTTGTTGATGATGAAGTCTATTGTGATGTAGTAGTTGTTGTTGCAGTTGTTGTTGTTGGTGTTCCAATTCATTGAAGTTACTAAGTGAATATGTGTTATCGTCGTCTTAGTTTCTAGAGTGGTAGTAGTAGTAGTACTGGTAAAAGTGGTTAGTCGTAGTAGTAGTAGTAGTAGTAGTAGTAGTAGTAGTAGTAGTAGTAATAATAATAATAGTAGTAGTAGTAGTAGTCGTAGTAGTAGTAGTAGTAATAATAATAATAATATAAATAATAATAATGATAATAGTAGTAGCAGTAGTAGTAGTAGTAGTAGTAGTAGTAGTAGTAGTAGTAGTAGTAGTAGTGGT